ATGGAAGAAAACTTTGTCAGAGAGAAGATATTTGTCATAGAAGGAGAAGCTGAATCTTTGCTAAGTTGCAACTGTAGTTTTCAATTAGGGATTCTAAAGAAAGCTTACTCTGTCATTGAAAAGGGGACAGTATCAAAAGAAGAAGAAAATGGTTCTAAGAAAATCACACCAAGAAGAAAAATATCAGAAATGAAAAACCTTAAAGAAAAAGTTTGATAACAGATGCAAGTCCATTTAGAATTGGTGGGATCTTACAACAAAAATAATTAGATGGTTCTATTAGACCTGTAGCTTACGCAAGCAGATCGCTATCTGAAGTGGAAAGAAGATATTCACAAATTGAACGAGAACCACTTGGATGTGTATGGGCTGTGGACCATTTTAATACATATCTGTGGGGACGAGTTTTTAGTTTAATAACCGATCATAAACCATTAATAAATATGTTTAAATCCACGTCATCAATACTATTACCTCCTAGAATTCAAAGACTTAGTTGGAGATTATTACCTTATGAATATACAATTCAGTATATTAGTGGAACCAAAAATACTGCTGATAGTTTATCAAGACTTGCATTACCAGAAACATTGGACAATTTTCCAGAATCAAATGGAAAAATTGAACGATTTCATCGTTATTTAAAGAAAGGATTAAGAGCGGCTGAGTCTGAAGGAAAAGACTGGAAAGATGAATTGCATAAGATTTTGTTAGGTTATAGATCATTTCCTAGTTGTACAAATGAAACTCCTGCTAAATTGTTATTTTCTAGAGATATTAAAACTAAAATTCCTTTATTTAAGAACAATGATACAGTAGATCATGATAAAATTAAAACTTATCATAAAAGATATCAAAACAAAATGAAAGATTACACAGATCAAAGGAGACATGCAAAGTCTCATAGTTTTGAAATTGGTGATATTGTGTATATTGCAAATTTAAATACTAGTAAATTACAATCAAAATTTAAAAGTACGAAATATGTCATATTGAAATTTATAGCAAATGAAACTTGTGAAATTGTCAATACTGAAACTCATGTCAAATTGATCAGAAATGTTAAATTTTTGAGACATGTACCTTTGGATAGTAATGATATATTAATAGATGATACGAGAGATATGCAAAATTTTAATTTTGAGAATCCTATGTATTTGGCAGAACCTCCAACAGAT